ATATATATGGAAATTTTGCTTGGAGGATATTGATCTATAAAGACAAAGGTTACCTCTTCCGTCAAAATAGACGTCAAAGCAACTCCGCCTTTGCCGGTCCCAATCCCGGATGAAAAAGGAGGAGGGGGGGCAGTAACAAGCTCGCTAAAAAACCTGGGTTCAGCTAGCCTGGCTGATAGTACCCTGTAAGGGCTCCTAATCCAGGGATACAGGATGAGCAGCGTTTGTACTCCATGTTAGGAGCAGCTGCACATGGTGTCTGTTCCTCATGTCAGAGGCGGCGATTTCTTTTGGAGCTAAGTCGGCCTGTCACTGAGTAGTGCTCCCAGTCTTAATGATAAAGGAAGACACATTCTACTTCACCCAGACATGATGGTTGTCAAACAGACACCATCAAGGGTCACAACTTGATACCCTGATATGATTGAGTGGAGATAAGAAAGAAGAGGAAGAGACGTCAAAGCTCGACGCCATCTATTGACCGTTTTCGCCGTTATTGACCGTTAGTTTGTATGAACAGATTGTCAATATTTGGTTATTCAGCATTTTTCTCTCTCTCTGTTCCTTGATGGAAGCAGGAGGTGGTTGAGTTACCCAAATAAATACAAATGAATGTATGCTCCTGGAATTTGAGTTATTAATAAAATATGTAAATAAGTTGAAATTTGATCAAAATAATTTGCCTTTGCATACTTCTATCAGAATTCCCGGAGTTTTGATTTATCATTTTTGAAAAAAGTCATTTTTTTGGTTAATTTTTTGTGTTACTTTTAAATTTGTTATCAAAATAAAGAAATATTTTGCCAAGTATTCTCTTTAAAGTATCAAAAATACACTCATGGACAAAACTTAAGGAAGTTGTACCTTTAAGCATGTATATCGGGATTCAGACAATAACTCTGAAAGATACACTCATGGACAAAACTTAATGTAGTTCTACCTTTTAGCATGTATATCGGGATTCAGACAATAACTCTGAAAGATACACTCATGGACAAAACTTAAGGAAGTTGTACCTTTAAGCATGTATATCGGGATTCAGACAATAACTCTGAAAGATACACTCATGGACAAAACTTAAGGAAGCTGTACCTTTAAGCATGTATATCGGGATTCAGACAATAACTCTGAAAGATACACTCATGGACAAAACTTAAGGAAGTTGTACTTTTAAGCATGTATATCGGGATTCAGACAATAACTCTGAAAGATACACTCATGGACAAAACTTAAGGAAGTTGTACCTTTAAGCATGTATATCGGGATTCAGACAATAACTCTGAAAGATACACTCATGGACAAAACTTAAGGAAGTTGTACCTTTTAGCATGTATATCGGGATTCAGACAATAACTCTGAAAGATACACTCATGGAGAAAACTTAAGGAAGTTGTACCTTTTAGCATGTATATCGGGATTCAGACAATAACTCAGAAATATATTACAGTGACCTTTGTTGGAGACACACGAGATAACTAAGTGTGAACTTGGTATACTACACATCCTAGGAATGATTTTATATCTGAAAACTAAAATAGGAACGTCCAAAAACAACAGTATCGATTAAAAAATGTTAATAAGAGGGAAAAAAAGTCATCTCCTGATCATGCAAATAAAGGTTGCTGTTGGTTTGCGTTATCGTTCGAATTAATCAATAAAAAGGGTATTTGTCCAATTCTGGAATAATTCTGGAAATCTAAAGCCTAAAGTAAGAGTAACTTAATATACAGAAAAACGTACACCCAAGAGTACAACACCAACAACAAAAAAGAGATAAAATAAAAAACTCACAATTTGCTATATAAAAACAAACCAATACTTATCTTTTATTGTAGAGTTGGTAGGGATCGGACTGGGGTCACACAGGTATGGGAGGAGATCACCAGACACGAATAAATCACGCAGAGAACACTTTAAACGTCTCTACACAATAATCCACCACACTGGTCTCTCGCATTCCCTTAGTCCCCTCTTATATACAAACATGGCCACATTCGTTCACATGGCCACATTAAAAAATCAACGATTAATTGATATTTTTTCCGACAGATGGCACAGGCCATCAGCACAACTTTTATTATTACGATTAGAAGATATATATTCTCTTAATGTATTCACCTGATCCAAGTGCAATTTAACTTTTGTACTATTTTTTCACCAATACTCCTGCATGTACCCTACATTTCTACTCAAACAAGTTGGTGGACGAGTGGGTAACTCCCTCGATTCCCGACAGTCATGAACCGGGATTAAATCCCGCGTTAACATTTTGTTTAATATGTGAATAACCTTCACATATTATTCATTGTTTCTATTACACTGATAGACAAAACTTAAGGAAGTTGTACCTCATAGCATATATATATAGGGATTCAGAAAATATCTCTGAAAGATATTTTCTGAATCCCGATATATATATGCTATAAGGTACAACTTCCTTAAGTTTTGTCTATCAGTGTTATCAACAACAACAACAACAACAAAAAGCCTTTATTTAGGGTCACTGACCCTATACAGGATTCACCAGAGGTATGCATAAGACCAAAGCACTGAGACAAAGGAAATAACAATATAGACAGAAGAAAAAGAAAAAAAAAAAGAAAGAGAAAGAGGGAAGCAAGAAAAACAACACAAAAAGAGTAGCAGTAAGAAAGTGATGTTTCTATTATCATGAACTAGGTTGCTCTTGTTGAGCGGTACCTAATAAAGTGATTTTGAACCGGAACTACATTTCTACTCGAAGAATCTGTATAAGACTTAAAGGTCTTACTAAAGCTTTTTTTTTTTGTTATTGTGTTGTATTTTTCACCAATAAGAGAGCTTAACACAACTGCCTACCTTATTTTGATATCATTTTTAAATACAGTAGATGTTGATGGTAATCGAAATGGAAGAGCAATAATTATTGTTAAAGGAAAAAATATCGTTAAATCTGGAGATACTTTCAAAGGTAAAATGTTGTTTACACTTATTTCCAGCTTCCAGTTAGAGACTGTCATAATAAAACTATGATAAGAAGCAGATAAGAATATCACAAAGAGGTCAGAGCTGTTGATTGAAAGCTTTCAAGGTAAAAAAAAAGATTATATAATTTAATATAAAAACAGGACATCATAAGATTAATTTATTTTAGTATTTTGTTTTTATATATTTTTTCTATCTTTCAAGATTTACACTCATATGGACAAAACTTGAGAGAAAGTTGAAAGTCTAATGCCCCCAGCCGTCTGTTATTTATTATTATTTATTTATTATTATTTTTTTTTTGAAGGAGACAGAAGCAATTTTGTTCACACTTGGTTATCTCGTGTATCTTCAATAAAGGTTACTGTATCAAATATATTTCAGAGTTATTATTTAAATCCCGATATACATGTTAAAAGGTACAACTTCCTTAAGTTTTGTCCATGAGTGTATACACACTTGGTTATCTCGTTTGTCTTCAAAAAAAGTCACTGTAATATCTTTCAGAGTTATTGTCTGAATCCCGATATACATGGTAAAAGGTACAACTTCCTTAAGTTTTGTCCATGAGTGTATACACACTTGGTTATCTCGTTTGTCTTCAAAAAAGTCACTGTAATATCTTTCAGAGTTATTGTCTGAATCCCGATATACATTCTGAAATGTATAATGCTCAAGTTTTGTCCATGAGTGTATACACACTTGGTTATCTCGTTTGTCTTCAAAAAAAGTCACTGTAATATCTTTCAGAGTTATTGTCTGAATCCCGATATACATGCTAAAAGGTACAACTTCCTTAAGTTTTGTCTATGAGTGTATACACACTTGGTTATCTCGTTTGTCTTCAAAAAAAGTCACTGTAATATATTTCAGAGTTATTGTCTGTATCCCGATATACATGGTAAAAGGTACAACTTCCTTAAGTTTTGTCCATGAGTGTATACACACTTGGTTATCTCGTTTGTCTTCAAAAAAGTCACTGTAATATCTTTCAGAGTTATTGTCTGAATCCCGATATACATGCTGAAATGTATAATGCTCAAGTTTTGTCCATGAGTGTAGATACCTCCTACAAAAGAGTAATACTAAGTTAAAGTTGGGTTCTCCCACAAATCAATATATTCATTCCTCTTATCATCTCCTGTAGAAGACATTTTACGCTCGAAATCTCGATAAAATAACAGAAGTAACATCTACGGTCGGTTTGTGATCTTTAACCGTAACTCGATATAGGAGAGTGAATAATAGCTTGAATATCACATTTTTAAGGTGAAATACAATTCTCTCTCTTTCTGTATTATATGTTACTAGACGAATGACCCGGGCTTCGCCCCGGGATTGACCCGTGTGCATATCTACCCGAGTGACATATATTTAGATAAGATTTTTTTTATAATTGTTTGTTATTAGCATTATCTATTTGTTTGCATCAGCATAATTTAATATAATCTTTGATAGAGGGCGCTGTTCGTGAGCTAAGTAAAATAATTTGGATATATAGTTTTAATAATTGATTTATATATTTTTTAAAATAGCCTATCGTCTTCCCCGTATTTTTTTACCTATGTATGGAAATTTTGGTTTGAATTAGTGAACTACTGCGAATTTGTATACCGCACATACAAACAAACATACATACAAACATTGATTTTTATATATATAGATTTCATATCTTTCAATATGTTTATTTCTCTTTTTACATAAATCATCCAATATTATCTCTATAGACCTTACTGTAATGGTATAAGTTATTTAAAGAGAAGGCTTGGCTAATTACTGGTGAATTCTCTCAGCGGTTTCGCCAAATTAATCTCCAATTTGGCGAAACCGCTGAGAAGATTCACCACTAATAAGCCAAGTCTTCTCATTTAACAACTTTTATCATTGCAGTAAGGTCTGTAGAGATAATATTTGATAATACTAAAAAATAAACACATTGCCAGTAAATTTAATCTACTTATATAATTGCCTTATTCTGTCTGTGTGAAGTTCACTGTGTGAAGTTCACGGATAGATTTTGGTCAGAATGGATAAAATAAAAAAAGTGTCAAGGTCGACCCACGACCTTCCGCTTACCGGGCAGATGCCATGACCACTAGGCTATAGGCTCATTATTTCTTTATACCGTTATTATACCGTTATATTATATAAAATTAAAACATTTTAAAAACACACAGTTTGGAACGGGACGTTTCACAAGAGTGACATCCATGGCGCCAATTTATAATTGTAACGAATAGTATTTGAATTAAAACGTTTTAAAAATATATACGCACTCGGGTAAAACCCGGGCGTTGCCCGGGCCATTCGTCTAGTATTATAATATAATCCTTTTGCTATTAATTTTAGATAATAAAGAAACGTCCAAGGATGAGTATCTTTGATTTAAACGCTTCTCGAGCTTTAGGGATAACGCCCTGGTTCAAATCACATTAATAGGTACCGCTCAGCAAGAGCAACCTAGTTCATGATGATTGAAACAATGAATAATATGTGAAGGTTATTCACATATTAAACAAATTTTAACGAGGGATTAAATCCCGGTTCATGACTGTCGGGAATCGAGCGTGTTACCCACTCATCCACCGACGGGATAACGCCCTGCTACAGAAAATTTGATTCAAATTAGAAAGGCGTTATCCTGAAAGTTTTACTAAATTTACTAAAGTAAACTTTATTATCTAAAAAAAAGTAAATTGTTACAAATTAGTTAAGGTATATATATGATGAACTCCTCCTATACATAACTATTCATTGAGTAAAATTAATCATTCCTCCAGGGAAAAGTGTATTTTCACAAACATTTTTATTGTTCTCTAGCTTTCGGGCACGGACGCCCTCCTACAGGAGAAACCCTGGTATAATGATATATAATTTATGCAAGAGATTATTTTATAGAATAAATATTCATTATACATTTATGATCTAGGTTTATCTTACTGAGCGGTACCTATAAAGAAAGTTATTTTAAACTGGAGACCAAAATAATACTGGATGGTGAAAAGAACTCCTGAGAGAATTGAGATGCCCTGAACACCGAAAAAAGAACCACCTATTGTTGCATTGTCTTGGGGGGGGATGGCTTCATGTCAATGTAAGATTTGATCCATATCAAGATTATAAGCGAGACCAGAACAACCATAGAACAAAGTTACCAAGGAAAGTATTTACAATTATTTTCTATCTTAAACTGAGAGATATCTAAACAAAATACACCTATCCCCCGATTTACACGGTACTTGTTTTACACGTTTTCGCTTTTACACGGTTTTCCAAATAAGTTTTTTGTTTTTTTTTTTTTGTTTATATCGCACTATGCTAAATGCTACTGTGATTGAACACATGCGCTGTGTACACATCTCACGAGGAATCCCGAGCTTATATGTGCTGACTTGCTGCACACGCACACTGTGTCTGTATTTCTAATTTAAAAAAAAATTAATTTTCGATTTACAAGTTTTTCTCAAGAAAGTATCTACCGTGTAAATCGGGGGATAGGTGTATTTACAAATAAAAATGCTGGTGTCACGTGACTGATGGTGATAAACCGAGTAGACCACCAGATATTATTCTGTGACAATATATATAGATTGTACCATATTTAAAACAATAAAAGTATTTGACATTTGACAATAGCAGGGCGGTAGATTAAACTAGCTAAACCACTGGGAGAGTTCATCACAGCCTCATAATATATTTACCATTGCTGTAAGAACAATAAGAATTGGTTAAAAAGAAACCTTTGCCATAAAATAGTTCTATAAAGAAACATTGTAAGCTATCAAAGAAGACATCAAGAAGACATCTATGGTGTCAGGAATATATATATATATATAGATGGAAAATTTGCCGGGAGGAAATATTCTAGCCATAGATTTGGCCCAGCCACATTGCCAGCAAAACACCTCTTTGGTAGATTGTGAAGATTCCATTAGATCCCGTGTGGATCTCATGGAATAAAGTCCGCCCTAGACTGACGAGGGCCATTAGCCCGAAACCATGGTCTCTAGGTGGACGCTTCTCAGTTTGCCAAAGCTGGTGTTGTGGCTTTGTCACCGACCCGAGGCCGCTAGTTGCGGCGACGGTCAATAGATGGCGTCAGTTTTTGACGTTTATTTTGACGGGAGAGGCGCCCATTGCTTCTATATATATATATGTTATGAATTATTTTGTTTTGTTGTTGAAAAGATAGAATTGGAGGTGCAGTCGTGAAAAAAGAAAGATAGTTATTTACCTTTCAAGTAGTTTTTATTTTAAATTACTTGAAGTAAAATTACACATAAAATTATTTATCACAGCAATATAGAATTTATAAAATGAATTCTATAATCGTGATTTAAAAAATAGGTAGGTTCAACTATACATATTTACAACAATTTTCAAAAAAAAAGTGGTATCTTCTAAATATATGGTCAAAAAATGTAGAACAGTCAATGAATGAAAATAAAATATATGTTTTGAAAAAAAAATGCATTTTATAGATTATATAATATACTAGACGGGTGACCCGGGCTTCGCCCCGGGATTGACCCGTGTGCATATCTACCCGAGTGATATATATTTAGATAAGATTTTTTTTATATAATTGTTTGTTATTAGCATTATCTATTTGTTTGCATCAGCGTAATTTAATCGTTGATAGAGGGCGCTGTTCGTGAGCTAAGTAGAATAATTTGAATATATAGTTTTAATAATTGATTTATATATTTTTTAAAATAGCCTATCGTCTTCCCCGTATTTTTTTTACCTATGTATGGAAATTTTTGTTTGAATTAGTGAACTACTGCGAATTTGTATACCGGGCATACAAACAAACAAACATACAAACATTGATTTATATATATATAGATATATGAGTTAATATAGGGTTGAGAGATATTATTCAAAACAAAGAAGATATCAATCACCGACGACCTGACACTTAGTTAGAAGCTCATCACCCAACAGCTGCAAGGTCTGTCACCTCTACTCCACCAACTGCCATGTGTAAATAACCAGTACAAAGTGACTCGAATGCAATACCTTTAAACTGAGACGAAATAAATAAAAAATAGAGTTGAGGTCAAAGGTTCCAAATAGCCATCCTCCTAGGAATAAGTATATTTACCCATGAAGACCTACATAACATTCCCCAATAACAAATCAGCCTGGAGACATCTGGTAAACTGGATGTCCACCAGTAGACATGAAGTCTTAACCCGTATAGTTGACGACTTTAGTACGTGGTGGCTTCAGGAATCTGTGTTACCTCAAAAGAGAGTTGAGGTGAGCGTTAATAGATATAAATATTAAAAACTATATTTTAGACGCGTAAGATTCTTTTTGAAATTAAACAATTTCTACTGCCCTTACTGCAATGGAAAATTAATGGGAGGGACTGGCTCATCCGTGGTGAACCCTCCCAGCGGTTTCGCCAGTTTAATCTAGATTTTGTTTAATCTAGATGCAGTAAGGGCAGTAGAAATTGTTCAATTTTAAAAAGAATCTTGTGCGTCTAAAATAGTTTCTAATTTTGATAACAGATGGCGCGCTAATGCATCGAGATATAACTATTGTTAGAGAGCATGAATAAGTTTTCCCAGTAAGTCTAAATTAGATAGAGATAATATGTTCATTTAAATTATTTGCCTTCAATAAAGAAGATTTAAAAGATAGTTGCGATCCATCCAACATTCCCAAGTACAGTACATCTGATGTCCACCATTAGACATGTCAACCCGGATAGTTGGTGACTCTATTACGTGGTGGCTCCAGAAATCAGTATTACCTCAAAAAAGAGTTGAGGTATGAGTTAATAGATATAAATATTTATAAAATGAAAGGATTTAAAAGCACGAATGTTTCTTTTATACACAAAACAAAATTATACTGTCCTTACTGCGATGAAAACATATATTGGGAGGGTTTGCCTATATTTTTTCATCGCAGTAAGGACAGTAGAAGTTTGTATTGTGTATAAAAGAAACATTCGTGCTTATAAATCCTTTCATTATATACATACACCTATCCCCCGATTTACACGGTAGATACGTTCCTGAGAAAAACGTGTAAATCGGGGGATAGGTGTACACAGAAATAAAAATAAAATACATTGACAGGTTAAAATATGTAGTCAGCATTCCTCGTGAGATGTGTACACAGCGCATGTGTTCAATCACAGTAGCATTTAGTATAGTGCGATAAAAAAAAACTTATTTGGAAAATCGTGTAAAAGCGAAAACGTGTAAAACAAGTACCGTGTAAATCGGGGGATAGGTGTATATATAGAAGGCGGGCTATTGCTTAGTATTAAGATATAAATGTTGTTAGAGAAAATGAATAAGTTTTCCCAGTAAGTCTAAATTAGATAGAGATAATATGTTCATTTAAATATTTAGTTTCAATAAAGAATATTTAAAAAAGAGTTGCGATCCATCCAAGATACAATATATGATAAATGAGCTAGCTGTGACGGCAGTATTCCAACCTCACTTACCTCAGTGGCTGAATGGAAGGTTCTCCCACCACGTGCCAGATATAATCAATGAAAGTGCTGACGTCACTGTAATCTCATTGGCTGCCTGCCGTACGTCGAGTGGTGTGCCAATCAGCTGACAGGATGACAATGGTGTTGTCATTGCCTGGATGAATAACTACAGAACTAACCATTTCCCCTCTTCAAAACTAACAATTCTCACTCGGTAGACGAATGGTTAAAAACCGTCGAATTAACAGAGCTATTGCATATATATGAAAAAACAATAGAAACAAATAAAAATCACATGTTATCCTGGTCAGGATATGCTTTCATTATTTTAAATATAATATAAATCTTTAATTAAAAAGGCATATATTGGATCAAAATATCATTTATTTTACCAATATTTCAGTTGGCTGAACGCCAACCTTTATCAAAGTGTTATAACATTTTAAAGGTTGTTGTTGACACACTTTAAAATGTTATAACACCTTGATAAAGGTTGGCGTTCAGCCAACTGAAATATTGGTAAAATAAATTATATATTGATCCAATATATGCCTTTGTAATTAAAGATTTATCTATGGATTGCTCTATTTTCAAAATATAATATAAATGTAATATTTAACTGTAATATTTCATTGGTCTTGTAGAACGAGACA